CCCTAAACCCTATAGACCCTCCAAGTACTGTCAAGGGGCTACCTGGGGAACCGAGGCGAGCCGTGGCGGCCTTCGGCTGCGGATTACTGACTTTCACGCTGGTTCAGCTTCTCAGCTCATAGTATGCCTTTAGGGTTTAGGGTTTAGGCCCCATAGTAGTTCCTTTTTGGGGGTTACCTTAAAGGGGGATTCCATATATGAGCCCCCAAAAGGAACTACTTTAGGGCCTATGGGTAGAAGCCTGGATGAGGAATGATACTGGTAGTCTCCATTGTAGTTCTTTTTTGGGGTTACCTGTTAGGATCCTTAATAAAGAAAATGGTGAAACCAAAAAAGGGAACTACAATGGAGACTATAGGTAGTATAGAAGCCTGGATGATGGAAAATCCTGGTTCCTGAGGGCTCCTGATCCGAGTTATGGTACTAGAATCCCCCCGAAACTCCCAAAGTCTGTTCGAATGGTTCAGGCCGCTTTTTTTGGGGTTTAGGTCTATGGGCCACGAGGGTGTGAAGGATGAACCTTTCACAGCACTGCACACGTAGATGTTTCTGGCCTAGTTTCCTACCAGACTCATCAAGTGAAGCGACCCTGCACAGAAGAGGTTTGAGGTTCCACATGCTGTATGGAAAGCGAGAGGCAAAGCGAGGGCGAATGGTGGACCGATGTCGCCAAGTGTTGAGGCAGCGGGTTTCAGACAAGGGTTGAGTGTTCGGGCATGGCAGAATGCAGCGGCTTTAGACTCACCTGCACGATTCAGGTTGCTGCATACCTTCCGTGTAAGTTCTGCACGATAGAGGATCCTAGTGCTCCTTTGCAACGTGGGTTTAGGGTTTAGGGTTTAGGGTTTAGGGTTCCCTAAACCCTAAACCCTGATCAAGATACCTCGGCCCTATAACCCCCAAACATCAGGATCCATATGTCGAGCCCCAGTAAAGACCCAAAGTTTCTTAATCTGGTTCCTATATTGCCTTGGAAACTGAAGCTCAAGCTGCGCAAGGATTGAGAATGCGTTCGTGTCCGCTTCACTGGAGAGCTTCACCATCACACGGCACCCAATTTTCCTTGGCTCCGTCATGCTTGCAACTGTCGCCGCCATGTTCCAGCACTACATGCTCTTCGGTGCAGGGTGGCCACAAAAGTCCAGCAGGGAGGTTGGGACGTAGGCATTGTTCTGCAAAGCAGACAGGCCTATTTCAGGAATCAAATAGGCACCCTGACATAATGTAGGGGCCCAAATAATTACAGTTGCCCGTACTATTTTGGGGATTCCTGTTTATACTTATGGTAGCATGGGACCCAAAACCCTTGTCTAATGATTTACGCCCCTATATGAAGCTTTCTGGTGGGAGATCCCAACCTACTTGGCGTACTTGAAGAGGAGCTTGTGGGATGTCCCCCACAACCTTAACATAGGGGCCTTAATCATTACAATGGGGTTTGGGGTATACTCTACTACTATGACTACAAGAAGGGAACCCCAAAATAGTATAGGTAATTTTTCAGGCCCCTGCATTGTGGTTTTCGTTGAGCTCCTGGGGGTCCCTACTAGTATCATACGAAGCTGCAGGGAAGCCAGCAGGAAAGCTATGGTTTCCGCTGAAAGCTTCAAGCAGCCGAAGGCTGCCGTTTTCGCATTTTTAGAAAGATTCTCGTGTTCAGCCAGAAAGGTAGCTGGAAAATGACCCTCGATCCAAATATGCAGTCACTGGCAAGGCAGCTTGCAGTTTGAATCCCACCACTCCCAAATCTGAGTAAGACAAGCTTGAATCCTCGTACTGCTCAGCTAAACAGGACAAGCACGCTGGGGACGTGAGGTTTGGAAATTTAAGTTTGCCGTTCGTAGTTTGAGGCTGCAGCGGCCCGCAGATATCATGTCGCTCTCGAACACAGCTTGTTCACCTTTCATGACAGTATGGGCACGCCCAAGTGTACTTCGAGGTTGGCATCATACAGCAAAAAACGACATTGCTGGTCGAAGCTAGGATGTCTGCAAAAAACACTGTGTTGGCATCGCGGCGGCTGAAATTTCCAATATGACGACCCCCGACATCCCCTCATACAGATGCCACTGGCAAGCCGGGATCACGCTTACGACAGTTATGGGGACGGCCATGGCGACGATGAGAGTGATGGAGTTACGGAAATGGTGAGGACGGTGATGATGAGGATGAAGACTGGCCACAGAAGACAACCATGCTGGTGATTGTGATGGTGCTGTGGATGATCGCGGCAACCACGGCAGTCCTACTCTCGCTTTCCTAGTTGGTTCAAGCCTTGCCTGTCTCCTGATGTTCGGATCCTAAGCAACGGCCACCGGCAAGCACGGTCGAGGTCACCCGCTGTAGCAGCAGCGTTTGAGATGTTGGTCTTGGAAGAAAAAGGTAGTGTAAGGGCCTTGACTATTAGAATGGGGTTTTGGGGGTTCCTTATTATAATGATACTATTAAAGGATAATGATACTACAAAGGAGCCCAAAACCCTATTCTAATTATTTAGGCCCTACAGTAAAGTACCCCCTTGTTCCGAAACCCCAGTACGGCAACCCCTAAACTTTAAACACTAAACCCTAAACCCTAAACCCTAAACCCTGAACCCTAAACCCTAAACCCTAAACCCTAATCCGAAACCCCGGTACGGCAACGTTGGGTCGACAGCCGCCTTCGGGGCCGTCGCCATGCGACGGCTGAAGGCCAAGGCCTCTGAGCTCTACCAGAACGGAGTCTTCCGTGCCGCCTCCAGCCAGGTCCGGGGGTTTCCCAAAAAGGGTTTAGGGTTTAGGATTTAGAGTTTTTGGGGTTTAGCCAGGTCCGGGGGTTTGGGGTTTAGGGCTGAGGGTTTAGAGTTGTTGGGTTTTGGGTATAGGGTTTTGGGGGTTAGGGTTTCAGAATTTTAGGGTTTAGGGTTGAGGGTTGAGGGGTTTCCCAAAATAGGGGACCCTAGTATAGCATAGTACCCTAAACAGTGGGGGTTTCCGACATCGGGGGACCCTAATATAGTACCCTAAAAAGTAGAATCCTGAGTTTCCGGAAATTAAGGATAATTCGAAGGACCCTTTATTTCCGGAAACTCCCAGGTGGTGCTGTCAGGCTGGGGGCGACTCGGAGAGAACAGGGGATGTGTCTGACTACGGATCCAGCTTCTGTCCATCTTCAACTCAAGCCCCATCTTCAGGACGAAATGAACCCTAAAATCCCATCTAGGGGTTCATAGTATAAGGGTAAAGGGCCCCTACTTATAAGGCTCATTTGGTCCCCAAGGCAGGTAACATGAACCCCCTAAACCCTAAACCCTAAACCCTAAACCACAGCCTGCTGAGGCAAGTCTTCGAGACGCGGAGTGCCGCAGACTTTCGGAGCACCACCCCGGCACCTCGCCTTGGTGTCGGATGTATCACCCAGAGAACCCAATACCCCTTAATTAAGGTTTAGGGTTTAGGTTTTAGGGTTCAGGGTTTAGGGTTTAGGGTTTAACTATAGGGGCCTTAATATTATGATGGAAGGCATATTCCTTAATTACGGGGTATTGGGTTGTCTGGGCAGGTAATGACTTTGTGCGCCGCAGGTGCGGCGCATAACGTAGGGGCCTTATATAATAAGTTAGAATAGGGTTTCGATCTCTCTTAGACCATAAACCCTAAATCCTAAACTCTAAACCCCAAACCCTAAACCCTATACCATATTTATAATAAGGAACCCCAAACTAGCATAAGTAATTATTAAGGCCCCTACGGTAACAGCAGAGAAATGCAGAGGATCCCCCAGTTCCGGTGCAATTTTGCAAGGCAGTTCCGGGGGTTCCGCATAGCTTTTGGAAAGTGGGTCAGGGTTTAGGGTTTAGGGTTTAGGGTTTAGGGTTTTGGGTTTTGGGTTTTGGGGTTTAGGTGGGTTGTATATGTGTTTTTGCCCCCCCCGAAATGCAGGATATGTTGTAAGTGTGCTTACATGGGTTGTATATGTGTGTGTATGCATATATATATATAAGATTACTTGATGTATCTACATGTACATGTTTGCAGCTCCTAGGTCAAGGATGTGGATGTGTTCATCAGCCATTCCTGGTCGGCTGGCCGGTGGGAAAAATACTTCGCCCTGTGCTACTTTCTGAACCTGGTCGAATCGAGGGTAAGGGATATTACAGGGGTCATTGCAGTTTAGCGTGATGGCGGTGTTCAGTTTGAGTTCTGAGTTCTCTCCCGCCAACAATCCAGGAACCTCGGCTTGGCGGCAAAGGCGATGCTGGCATCTGTGGTGCTTTCGGAAATCTTCATGCTGATTTGCCCCGAGGTGTCCATCCACGTAGTGTTCTGGTTTCTGCTGGACTTCCCTGTTGTTGTCTTCTTCTTGGTCTTCTTCTTTGGGCAGCACCTCGCTTGCGGACTCTGGGGTCCCCGCTTCTGGGTGGATAGGCTCTGCGTGGACCAAACCGATGAGACAACGAAGGCGGAAGGGATCGCAGGCTTGCCCACGATTGTGGCAAACTCCAGTGAATCTAGGTTCCCCAGTACCCTTTTGCCCTCTTTCTTTTTGGGTTTTCTTAATAAAAACAGAATAGTAGGAAAAAGGGTACCCTTATTATTTAGGGGCTACTGGGGAACCTAGGAACTGCTCGTCCTCTGGGACAAGTCCTACTTCGAGCGGCTCCTTGGTGTCATATTTCTTGGAGCGGCGTCAAGTAGAAAGATTGAAAACCCTAAACCCTAAACCCTAAACCCCTAAACCGTAAAAGAACGGCAGGGTCTAAATGTTTCTGAATCCTTACACCTTGGAGTACAAACTTCATGCTGGAGCCCAGAACCGTTTGCAAACCCTAAACCCTAAACCCTAAACCCAAAACCGCAAGGCTCTGGTGCAACTTTGAGCTCTCGATCTTCTTCAAAGGAAACGGTCTCAAGAATTTGCGGCTTGTGCCACTGTGGCTCACTCCGTGGCTGCTGACGACCATGTTGCTCTCTTACGTTTCAGCTCGCCTCGTGGCTGTCTTCACCGAGTCTGAGCCCAGCTTCGGTGTCAATGACACCAGCAAACTCTCTGGAGTTGCGGGCAGCGCGCTTCTATTCGGTCTGAAGCGCTTCTGTGGCTATGCGGCGGCAAGTCAAGCCTATCTTTGCTTCTGTCTGCCGCCAATCATGGTCGGCATCGTCTCCTTTCAAAAGAAGCTGGACGGACACCGAGACACTTAGTTACCCAATACCCAACCTTTAAACTTTTTGGGCTCTTACAATTTAGTAGTAACCTTAAAGTTTAACCTTCTATTTCCCCCTGGCTTTTTTGGGGAAGTAAGAAGGACATAATACAGTGTAATGTAGTATTCCTTAGGCTTTCCTTTCAGAAGTATACTATAGCACACTCCATTCCCAAAGTAAGGACATGCTGGAAAGCATGAAGTCGTTCGATGTACGCAACGCCAAGTGTACCGTGGAGAACGACCGTTTAGTTATCGAGGCCCTTGGGCCAAGTTGGGTTTAATGCAGAGGGCATAAATAAGTACCTATGTTTTTTTCTTTTGGGGGGGGGGTCCTTAATATAATTATAGTTTAATGGGCCCCAACACCCGATTCTAATAAGGTTTAAGATCGGGGCCTAAATAAGTACCTCTACTCTTGTGGGGGTTCCTTAATAGACTTTGAATGTGGTAGGGTAGTAATATAGGGGCCTTATAATGATTACCTGTAATATTTTGGGGGGTTCCTTGATATACTGGGTCTCCCCGTTGGCCCTTTTTTCTTTTTTGGAGTCTTACATTCCTTATAAAGGTACCCATTACCAACACGGGAGCCCTGTTTGATCCTAGGCTATTGGGCATTTAAGTATCATTATAGTATAATGGGCTCAAAAATGCTGTTCTAATTACTCAGGCCCCTACATTAGTGTTTAGGGCTTGGGGCTTAGGTTTTGGGGTGTGGGGTTTAGGGTTCAGGGCTTAGGTTTGCTTTCCATAAGAAGAGCTTGAAGAAGTATCTCTATACAGCTCCAATATGAAGTATGTACCCAGGCCTTCCAAATCCGTTAAGTACGGGTTAAAACATACCGGGGGGTCCTACTTCATGTTAGAGTATACCCCTTAGTTAAAGGGATGTTGTTTTAAAGTATATCCCCTAGTTAAAGGGATATTGTGTTAACGTATATCCCTTAACCCTGAACCCTAAACCCCTAAACCCCTAACCCCCTAAACCCTAAACCCCTAAACCCCTAAACCCCTAAACCCTAAACCCTGAACCATAAACCCTAAACCCTGAACCCTAAAGTACATCCCTTAATTGAAGGGAGCTTGGAAGGTCTGAGAGGTCAGCCTCAAAGTTGCTCCCATCACGTCCTCAGCCGGTCGAAAGAGTTCCCTTGATGGCTCCTGTAGAGGTTTAGGGCTTTAGGGTTTAGGGGTTTAGGGTTTAGGGTTTAGGGCTTTAGGGCTTTAGGGTCTATGCTTTTAGGGCTTTAGGGTTTAGAGGTACCTGCTCATAAATACTTTTTAAGGCCCCCAAAACTGCAGCCCAAAGGAGCTCAAGATCTAGGGAGGCCTCTTCGTTCGCACAGCTTTGTACCTACCAGGCCTGCTGATGAAGCCCTAAACCCGCAGACCCTAAGCACTAAACCCCTAAA